TGATAAAATAAAACTAGTAATAAACACAGTCAGGTTGTACTCCAGCCCCTAGGTGGCAGTATTTGTGGACTGATGTCCCCATCTTTTTGGCTGCTCTGGCTTTCTTTTTCTATCGCACTCAATACTGTTTTTTCCTTGGAGCTGAACCCTGGAGGATTTCTCCCCGCTCTGCTTCTTAGCTTCCAGATAAGCAAACAAGCTGGCAGGGGAGCAGTTCCCTTCTGGCCTGATGATTTTCTGTTGAGAAATAAGTTGCTAGTCTGATGGCGGTTTCTTTATATGTAACTTTCTGTCTCGCTCTGCCTGTTTTAAGATTTTTACTTTGTCGTGGGTGTTTGCCAATTTAATTATAATGTGCCTTGATGTTGGTCTTTTGGGGTTCATTTTGCTTGGGATTCTGTGAGCTTGGATTTGTGTAGGTTTTTTCTTCAGTATATCAGGAAAGTTTTCTGTCATTATTTCTTGAAACAGGTTTTCTATGCATTCCTCAGTTTCCTTTCCTTCTGGACCCCTATTATTATAATATTGTTTTGTTTTGTATTGTCCCAAAGTTCCCTTAGCTCTCCTAATTTTTAAAATTTTTTTCCAATCTGCTTTAATTGGGTATTTTTTTCCATCTTGTCTTCTAGCTCACTGATGCGGTCTTCTGGTTCTTCTATTCTACTCTTAATGCTTTCTATTGAGTTCATTACAATAGTGATGTCATTTTTTATTTCTTTTTGGTTCTTCTTCATTTCCCCTTGGTTCTTACTCATATTGTCAAATTTGTCTTCCATTCTTTTTAGCCATCTTATGATCATTACTCTGAATTCTTGCTCTGATAGGTTGCTTGACTCTAATTCATTTACTTCTTTTTCTGGTGTTGTCTGCTTTTCTTTCATATGCACGCTGTTTCTTTGTCTCCCCATGGTCTCTTTTTTCAAGATGTCTGATTATGCAGTTCTCTTTCTCCTGTGTTGATTTAAAGGCACAAAATACAACATTACCAGGTACAACACACAAGGCACTGAACAGAAATGTATTTGCGATATTAATAACTTCCAATAAAGGTGACCACTAGAGAAAGGCAAATTAGGGGATAAGAAGAATAAAAAGAGAAGGAAAAAAAAAGGAGTTTGCAAATGCCAGCAACAGTACTTGGAGATTATACAAACTACAATACCAACTAATATCAAGCGAGGTAAGAGAAAACAGAAGTAAAAAAACAAAAGAAACAAAGCAAACAAAAATATACCAACCAACAACAACAGCAACAAAATAAGCAAAACAATCTCACTAAAAAGCATTAAAAAGTCAATATAATCAACATTTAAGCAAACAATAACAAAATAACAGAGAAAAAACATAATTTATTTATTTTTGATAGTTAAGACAAGGAAGGGAGAGGTTTGCATGCACTTGGAAGCAAAGGATTGAAAGTTAGATATATAAGTAGGATGAAATTTTTGCAGAGGGTAGACAGAAAGAATAGGGAAAATGTAAAGCAGGAAAGGGTTAAGATAAACAGGACACTAAAAGGGGAAAGGTTAGAAAGAGAGTGATGTCATAAAGGTCGTGTTGGATAGGATTAAATGATGCTAAAGGAGAGATGAAAATAGAATGTAGAACACCAATCCCAATGTAAAATAAAGAGAAAATAAAATGGCACTTAAAAAAGAAGAAAAAGGAAACAAAAAAGGTAAAATGGCAGTAGTAATAATACTGAGTGAATCTAAGAATGTAATAATTAAAAAGGTAAAATCAAGTGAGGAAAAAGGAAAAAAATGTTACTTTAGTAAAAGATGCAAAAAATGAAAATAAAATTAATAAAAAATAAAAAATTAGCATAAAAATGTGCAGTAGTGAAGGTCATTAACTTCCTCTATTATTCTGTTTGGCATGCCTGTTTCTCAGTCCAGACAGTATTGCAGTTCCCTATGTTCCATTTCTTCTCAGTGTTGTAAGCCAGTCCTTATTTTTAGGTAGGCACTTTCTTGTATTCTTTTATTTTTGATTAAATAAAACTAATAATAAAAAGTCAGTTTGTAATTCAGTCCCTACCTGGAAGTGTTTCTGGATTGACTTTCCAGTCTTTTTAGCTGCTCTAGCCTTTTTTCTCTATGGTACTCAAAACCAGTTTGTGGAGGTGGGCTACCTCAGACCTGGCTCCCAGATGGTCTCTCCCTACTCTGATCCCCAGTTTCCAGAAAAGCTACTTCCTCCTGGAGTTTCCCAGGGTATGCCAAACTGGGTGATCCTTGCTAAGGAATCAGAAGCAAGGGTATGAAGAGGGAAAATCCCAGGTGTGAGAACAATGGGTCTGTGTGCAAGTTTAAGCAGACTTCACACCTTTCTAATTCTTGTGCTCTCCCTCCGTGTCAGATCAGAATGGGTTGATTTTAAAAATCCCTTCTATTAGCAACTTTGAGGACCTATTTTCAATGCATGGATCACATCAGACCCAACAGCGGGGGACTTTTGTGGGCACAGACTTCCCTGGTCCTCAGGGTCCTGCAATGCAGCTTTTCTCTCTGCCACCGCCACCACAGCCGCAGCCCCCACCTGCACCTCTAGGACCCAGATCCCTTACCATATCCCTGGCAAAATCTGACCTTTCTGTGGTGGAATGAAGAGCTCCCTTGAATCTGTGTGTTTGTGCCAATTGGGGCCTCACAGCTGTTAAATGGTCTCCACAGTTGTGGGTTTTCAGGCCTCTGATAAGATCCACTTTCCCTTGTAAGATGGAGCAGTTTTCCATCTGAGCCATAGCTCTAAGAGAGGTCTCAGCCCCAGTGCAGGCTGCTTGGTCAGGGAACCCTGTCTAGGCGTCCCCCATCTTCTCTTAGAGTTCTGCTATCCCTTAGCTTGCCAAAAAACTCTCCCCCAGCGACTCTCAGGTGCTCCTTCTGTCAGCTCTAGGACAAGACTCTGAACATGTCTGACTATTCTTCCACCATTTTCTCTTCCAAAAAAAAATTGTTTTAAACCAAGAATATTGTATCGAGCAAAACTATTCTTCAAGAATGAAGGAAGTTCTGAAACTGATTTGGCTCAGTGGATAGAACATCAGCCTGTGGACTGAAAGGTCCCAGGATCGATTCCAGTCAAGGGCATGTACTTTGGTTGCGGGCACATCCCCAGTGGAGGGTGTGCAAGAGGCAGCTGATCAATGATTCTCTCTCATCAATGTTTCTAACTCTCTATCCCTCTCTCTTCCTCTCTGCAAAATATTAATAAAATATATTTTTAAAAAATAATAATAAAATAAAATATATTAAAAAAAGAAATAAAGGAGAAATAAAGTTTATTCTAGATTATAAAAAACTGAGAAATTTTATCACCCTTAAAACTGCTTTACAAAAGATGCAAAAGGGAGTTCTTCAACTTGAAACTATAAGATGCTACATAGTTACATGAAAGTTGCAGGAAAATATAAAGCTTTCTGGAAAAAGCAAACATATAGACAAATCCTATAATATCATAAAGGGAGTGCATAAATTGCTTTTAATTCTGATATAGAATTTAAAGATAAAACATAAACAATAATTATAACCATAAGACTATGTTAATCCTATATAATAAAATGCTATTATGCAAATTGTCCCCTCAGGAGTTTTGAGCGCTCACTATGATATGCACTGACCACCAAGGGGTGGTGCGGAATGAAGGAAGGGGGTTGGGGGAAGGAAGGCCCCAATTAGCCCTTATTGCTGGTCAGGCCTAGGGACTCTACTCATGCACAAATTTTGTGCACCAGGCCTCTAGTAAAAAATAAAAAGTTGTTATTTGTGACATGGGTGATATAGAGTGGAGGGGATATAAAAAAAGATTTTGTATGTAATTTAAGCAATGCTCTAATCAGTTTATATAAAATGTTCTTTTTTATAACCACAGAAACTCAAAGGAAAAACTATTTTATTTTTAAATTCTTTTATTGAAAGTATTACATATGTTTCCTTTTTGGCCCATTAACCTCTCCCCAACAACTCCCAGCCCCCAGCACAGCCCTCATTCCCTACTGTCTGTGAACATTGGTTATGCTTATATGCATGCATACAAGTCATTTGGTAGATCTCTTAACCCCCTTCCCCCCCTTGTCACCCTCCTCTGCCCTCTCTCTGAGCTTTTACAGTCTGTCAAATAAAAAAAACAAAAACAAAATAAAACACAAAAGAAGGCAGCAAGAGAGGAAAAGAGGGAAGAAATAACTAGAAGACATACTTAAAACAATAAAATGGAAATAGTATATTCTTCTTCATTACTAATTACTTTAAATGTAAATGAATTAAGTCCCCAATATAAAGACTAAGTGACTGAATATGTATAAAACAAAACTCAGTGCTCATTACTAAACAGGATCATGAGACTAAAATGGATAATGATACACTAATTCATGAGATAAGCTAAAAGAAATAAATTTCCAGGAGCATATAGATGATTATGACAGAATCATGAAGAAACAGAAAATCTGAATAGAGCTATATCTAGAAAAGAGACTGAATCATTAATCAAAAACCTCCTAATAAATCAAAGCCCAGGATTGTATAGCTTCATTATTGTATTTTACCAAACCTTTAAAGAAGAAATAACATCAATCTTTCCCAAATTATTACAAAAAAATTAAGAGGAGGAAATCATTCCAAATTCTTTTTTTTTTAATTTATGAGTCTAGCATTACCCTTGATACAAAAATTAGGCAAAAGATAATATACAAAAAGAAAAGTACATTCCAATATCCCTTAAGATAGATGCAAAATCTTCAACAAAATACTAACTAACCAAATTCAACAATGTATGAAAAGAATAATACTAAATGACAAAGTGGGATTTCTTCCTGGAAAGTAAGGATGATTTGACATATGAAAGTCATCATTGTGATTCAGAACATTAAAGAATGGACAAAAATGATGTGTTCAACTCAACTGGTGCAGTACAAAATTCAACATCTTTTCATAGTAAAAAAAAAAAAATAAACAAAATAGAAACCGAAGAAATTTTATCAACATATCAAAAAATCATATAAAAAATCCCATAGCAAATCATTTTTTTTTTTGTCCCCCACTACCACAAATTATGCAGTCGAGTTTCCCACATTTGGGGAAGTCACAGGGGTCAGCACATCCAGAGTGCAATGAATAAGCCTCACCCTGGGAAAACCACCTTCGTGATCCCCATAGCAAATCTTATACTCACTGGTTAAAAACTGAAATCTGACCCTCTAAATTTAGAAATTAAACTTAAGTGTCCATTGACATTTTCTTTAGCCATTCATATATCACATGTCATATATATATATATATATACACCCTGTTTCCCCGAAAATAAGACAGTGTCTTACATTAATTTTTTCTCCCAAAGTTGCGCTAGGTCTTATTTTCAGGGGATGTCTTATCTTCCCATGTGCTAGGTCTTATTTTTGGGGAAACACGGTATATATATATATATATATATATATATATATATATATATATATATATATATTTATATTGTTCAGCCTTTAAGAAGAAACCACTGTCAAAATGAAATAACTCAGTAACAAAAATAAGAAAACTGTATGATTACACTTACAAGAGGTACATGAACTAGTCAAATGCGTAGAAACAGAAAGTAGAAGAGTGGTTGCTACAGCTTGGGAAGACAGGGAAAGTAGAGTTGTTGTTCAATGCATATAGTCTTTCAGTTTGGCAATATGAGAAAGTTTTAAGGGGCTTTTGCACAACAATATTTATATAGTTAATAGTCTATCCTGTACAGCTAAAATTATTGATAGTGAATTTCATGTTATGTATTCTTTACCAAAATAAAAAATACCTATGAAAAAGAAACACTCATGGCATATTTTGTATACAAAATATTTAACATAGAAGTTGCAAAGAATTTATGACTTCCTTTTAAGTTGTGAATGTAATTATGTCTTTTAAAAAACGTTTTCTGATCTAGGTTTTGGTTGTACTTAATTAAATTTTAAGAAGACATGCATTTAGATTTTTGTTGTGTGATAAGCTATATTTTGTAAATATGTATACATCAAATCACTTTTCTGTTTTCTTGGGTTTTATTGCCTCACATGGAGCTGAGATAACATATTTGTCTTAAATTTTGGAGTGTGGAGGGATGCTCTGTCTTAAAATATAAACATACAAAATTCTTATTCTGAGAGGCAACTTGAGACACTTCTAATAAATACGGGGGTTTTCTACCGCTATGGACTTCTGATTTATGAAAAGCAACTCTGTGGATAGTAGCAGTGAATAGTAGTAATCTTTATTTAAAGTTGGTTAGTAATTTTCTGGAGCAATACTGAGACTAGTTATTTCACAGAACTGTTTCAAATATATTATCCAGAGAAGAAAATGTTAATGCTCTTCTTCTTATTTTGTTTTTCATGGTTGAAATTTATTTTTTGAGAGATGCTATCATGGTTTTTTTTTTTCTCTTCCAACAAATATTAAGAGAAGAATTAAAAAATCACACATACACACAAAAACCCACAAACCTCAGATCCAGCAAGATTCATGGGGTAAGTCCCCGTTGACGTGGGCCACAGGTAATAATAATGCCATTTTTAGTTTCTCTGTTTTGTCTATGATTTTTTCTTTTCAGGAAAGGTAGAGTGCTGGAGAAACTTAGAAGAGGAAGTAGAAAATGGAGAAAAGGAATATGAATGACTGAAATGGATTTGATTTGACATTATTCTAGGCCTGTCCTTGTCACATTTAATCAAGTACTGCAATCTATCAAAAAACAAGAATTTTAGTACTGGTTCTGCCATGAAGTACTATGACAGGGTATTCCTCTGAGCTGAATGTCATGATTTTATATTCTAATGTTGAATTCATTTAGCTTGTAAGTTCATTAGAATTTTCTACTGTACTTAAGTTAATGCTAAATAATTTATTCATTGTTTTGTATATGTTATGGCCTCAGAAAATGTCTTTTTAGAAGTCTCCAAGACTGAGATATCTTTGCTTATCAAATTTATCACTTTTCTTGGTAGCCCCACCAGGTCTGGGCTCATAACTGACTTGTTTGCAGTTATTTCCCCAAAAGTAGTACCATGCCTGACAAATAGCCTATATTCAATAATTATTTTTATCTCATTATTTATTTATTTGTTTGTTTGTTTATTTATTTATTTCATTTTTTTATTCCTCTTCTTTCTTCACACAGGAAACTAAGTTCTATTTGATATATATCTTATTTCCAAAAGTTTGTATCAAAATATTTTTAAATGAGAGTGAGTCTTAATGGCTAATTATTTTTTCCTAAAAAATAAAGAGGCATTAAAACTACATTAAATGAAAGCTCAGGATTTGCTAAACCAGAACACTGATTGTGAACTGCTTCATAGATAATGGAAGCCAGAACTTATTACAGAGTCAATGTCATTAAAGTAATAGTACAAACTGAATAGATAATGTGGCTAGCAAAGGAGAAAGATCTGTTTACTATTGCTGGTTTCTTCTAAGTTTTATCTGTAACAGCTCTAAATTCTTGCTACCAAAGAGCCATGAGGAGGGTAAATACAAATGATGTCAACTTCTTGGATTGTTATTGATACCTCAAATTGGCAAGCTTTAGTGGTTCTGTAAGACCAAATATGGATTCTTTGTCAATTTAACTAAATCCAATTTAAGTTATTTATATTTATCACCCTTCAAAACAGAAATCTGATATTATCCTATAGGGCCAAAATTGCCCAAAAAGGAAATAGCACTTTTTATCTATTGATCATTCAACTAGAAAGTGCCATGTAATAAAAATAATTATTAGAAACAAAATTTTAATGAATTTTATTTATTTACTTACTTATTTATCAATTAAAAGTATATTTATTGATTTCAGAGAGGAAGGGAGAAGGTGAGAGGCAGAAACATTAGTGATGACAGAGAATCGTTGATCAGCTGCCTCTTGCATACCCCACTCTGGAGATTGAGCCTGCAACCCGGTCATGTGTCCTGACTGAAATCGAACCTGGACCTCTTGGTTCATAGGTCAACGCGCAACCACTGAGCCATGCTAGCAGAGCTTAATGAATTTTAATTTGAGGAACAAGTATAGAAAATAGACTAAGACAATATAAGCTAATAAATACAATCAAATTCTACTGCTCCAATGTCTAAATTTGTCAAGAGAAGAAACTAGGGCCTTTCTGTTGTGCTATTATAACAGCTGTTTAGAGTTAGAATGCAGTGAAGAATAGTAGAATAAACAGAATCATGTGTGTAATAGTCAAATAATTATCAAGACTGCAGGGAGCAGAGCAATCAGCAACAAGAATTCCAAGGTTGGGGGAGGGGGCAGGAAGAAACCATAGGTCAAAGCCATAGAGTAATAGAAAAAATTGGGACCTACAAAAAAAGCTTTAACAACTGATGGCCCGTTCTGTTTTTTACTTTCTTTACCAACCTAGTTGTGTCATAGGCGATTTTGAATCCCAGGCATTTTTCAAAGTATGTTCCAATTTCTAATATTTTAAAAATCCATTCCAAGTAAATACCTTGAATAAATCTAAAATGTTTAGTTTATTATTAGTTACTAGAGGCCTGGTGCATGAAATTCGTGCATGGGGGGAGTGAAGGGGTGGTGGTGTCCCTCAGCCCAGCCTGCACCTTCTCCAATCTGAAACCCCTCAAGGGATGTTCAACTGCCGGTGGTATGGGGCCTAAATGGGCAGTCAGACATCTCTCTCAAAATCCAGGACTGCTGGCTCCCAACTGCTCACCTACCTGCCTTCCTTATTGCTCCTAACTGCTTCTGCCTTCCAGCCTGATCACCCCGCTAACCACTCCCATGCCAGCCTGATTGATGTCTAACTGCACCCCTGCCAGCCTGTTTGCCCCCAACTTCCCTCCTCTGCCAGCCTGGTTACCCCTAACTGCCCTCCCCTGCAAGGTTGATCACCCCCAACTTCCCTCCCTTGCAGACCTGGTGCCTCCCAACTGTCCTCCCTAGCCAAAACCTAACATTGTCACTAGTAATAAAATGTAAAAAGAGCTTGCCAATTTTGATGGCTCTAAGTTAAGTCACTGCTGGTAAAATGTAAAAAGAGCTAGCTAACCGAAACCAAATATTGTTCCCTGGTAGTAAAATGTAGAAAGAGCTGGCCAATCTTGATGGCTCTGAACGGTCAGAGGAGCTATTAACTCATCGTCTAGTTGAGAAAATGGTGGTTGAGGAAACTTTAATTTGTTAATCATATGTAAATGTAAATTCTTGTTGATTTTCTGTTGTTGGAACTTCCGGCCTAAGAGATGTCTTTGTTTCAGGATCTCAATAAAAGAAGTGGTAAAAGGCCAGAGCAGGGGTTAGTCTTCCCACTAGAGTGGACTTCCTGCCTGGCCCTAATCTCCCAAATTAACTCTTTTCCAGTCTCTTCATTTTAGTGTGCGGCCTTCTCCAGAAACCGGACCCTGAGTGGGCCCTGAACCACGCTGGTCCTGTTAAGGGATCCCACACTCCCTTGCTTGCCTGATCACCCACAACTGCCCTCCCTTGCAGGCCTGGTCCCTCCCAACTGTCCTCCCCTGCTGGCCATCTTGTGGTGGCCAACTTGTGTCCACATGGGGGCAGGATCTTTGACCACATGGGGGCAGGCATCTTGTGTCTTGTCCTGATGGTCACTCTGCATATTACTCTTTTATTAGATAGGATAGAGGCCTGGTGCATGGCTGATTTGCCCTGAAGGGTGTTCCAGATCAGGGTGGGGGTTCTCTTGGGATGTGGGGTGGCCTGGGCGAGGGGCCTGTGGTGGTTTTCAGGACAGCCACACCCCCTGGCGACCCAAGCAGAGGCTCTGGTATCTGGAATTTATTTACCTTCTATTATTGAAAATTTGTAGCCTGGAACAGAGCCAAGCCTTCTTCTTGCTCTATGACTGTCACCATTTTTGTTTGGATTTGTTTACCTTCTATAATTGAAACTTTGTAGCCTTGAGTGGAGGCATAGGCTAGCAAGGGCAGGTGGAAAGCTTGGCTTCTTCCATTGCCTGGGAAACCTAAGCCTCCCTCCTGCTCTCTGTGGCTGCAGCCATCTTGGTTGGGATTAATTTGCAAACTTACTCTGATTGGTTGGTGGGCATGGCTGATGGGTGTGGCTTTTGTGTGTAGTGGAGGTATGGTCAATTTGCATATTACTCTTTTATTAGATAAGATTGGGTAAACAAATAAGTTTTAAGGAAGGAA